GGAGTGACAGTAGAGTCGAGTCAAGTTTTTGGCGCCGTTGCCGGGGACGGCTAGGTTGTTGAAGAAAAGTGATTTCTGTTAATTTAGCTTTTCTTTTTGCTTTGTTTTCTTTGTCCCACTTGTGCCTTCACGGGTTTGTTGCTTGAGTGTGTGCAGGTAGTGCATGACCCGTAGCCAGTCGGGAGGTTTACTGCCGTTGAATCCAGAGATTGATCGCACCTGTTGCCAGCTCAGGAGACAACAGCGAGCTAGACTGGCTACGGAAGAGCGCATAGACGGCCACCTGAGCAGCGATTCTGAAGAAGAGCACGGGATGGACGGAGACTACAACCAACACCAGGGGAATCCACAGCAGGTTCCCCCGGTGAATCATGTCCTGGGGAACAACCCCATACCCCAGGACCATGGAGTTCATCATCCACCGCAGCCGGGTCCCACCTTGGAGTACTACTACACTCCTCGGATTGCTGACATCCGCCCGGTCATCCTCTACCCGCCGATCCCAGCAAACAACTTCGAGATCAAGCCATGCTGGATTCAGCTCATCACATCCTCGATCCAGTTCCATGGCTTGAAGGATGAGGAGGCCAGGGTACATCTGTCCCGTTTTCTGCAGCTGACAAACGGGTTCAAGCTGAACGGTGTCCCGGATGATGCAATCCGCCTTCACCTCTTCCCCCATTCTCTGGCGGGGAATGCTAAGAGGTGGTTGGAGACCCAGCCCCCATTGTCCATCACCTCTTGGGACGATCTGGCTGACAAGTTCGTGCACAGGTATTATCCAGCATCGAAGACTACAGAGATCCAGCGGGAGATCACTCACTTCCGCCAAGAGCCAGATGAGTCACTTCGGGATGCTTGGGAGCGATACATGGGCTATTTCTGGCAGTGCCCCCATCATGGCTTCAGCGATGCATTCACTGTGGGTGATTGAGTCTTTATGCCCAGGAGGGGATGTTCTCACTAAGACTCCACCAGAGCTGAACCAGATGATTAATACATTGGCTGCCAGAGATCACTCCTGGGGGCAGAGTAGCAGAGGCAGACATTCCAGGGACCGTGGTGTGCACGCCATGGAGTCCAGATCCAGACTCGAGCAGCAGGTAGCTGAGCTGGTGCAGACATTGAAGCAGCCCAACAGTCTGATTCCGGGCAGAGGTTTGGCTACACCTCCAGTGGCTCACTGTCAGTGGTGTGAGAGCTCCAATCACCTAGTGGAGGACTGCCAGGCTATGAGGGAGTCTGCCACACCCCAGGAGCAGTTGGCCTTCATCGCCAATGCGCGGCGCCTCGATCCATACAGTAGCACATATAATGAGGGGTGGCGCCAGCATCCCAACTTCGCCTGGAGCAGCAACACCACTAAACCACCTGGTTTCCCAGCACCAGCAGGTGGTTTTCAGGAGAGGCAGCCCTTCCAGGCTCGCCAGGGGCCAGACCCACAGCAGCAGCCCTACCAGCCTAGGCAGGGGCAGCCATTCCAGTAGCCCCAGCGCCAGTTTGCCGAGCCAGCAGCAGCTCCAGCCCCAGATGACAGGATGACAAAGCTGGAAAACATTCTAGCTTCATTCATGACGAGCACTCAGGCGACTATCACGAGGTTGGACCAGAGTGTAGCCTCACTGGAGGCAGGTCAGAGGAACCAGGGTGCCATTTTGCAGGATCTGCAGACCCAGGTGGGCATCTTGGCCCGCCAAAACACTACCAGGGCACCGGGGACTCTGCCTGCCACCACTGTTCCGAATCCTCGAGATCCTCACCAGCATCAGCAGCTGGATGCCATTTTTACCAGGAGCGGTAAGACCATATCTGCTGATCCTGTCCCGGCCAGACAGGAGGAACCACTGCCTGCTTCAGCACTTCCAGCCGACGATGCAGAAGTGCGGGTGGAGAAAGAAGCCCCTGCTCCCAAGCCACAACCAGTGGTTAAGGAGCATGTACCCCAGCTTCCCTTCCCCACTCGCCTACACAAGGACAAGCTGGAGACTGAGTTTGCCAAGTTCATGGCAATGTTGAAGCAGCTCAATATCAGCATACCGTTCATGGAGGCACTGTCGAAGATGCCCAAGTATGCCAAGTTCATGAAAGATATCTGCACCAACAAGAAGAAACTTGGGGATCTCTCGATAGTGATGCTGAGCGAGGAGTGTTCTGCTATCCTGCAGAACAAGCTGCCCGAGAAGCGCAAGGATCCAGGGAGTTTTACTATCCCTCTTACTATTGGCAGCATGCATGTAGGAAAGTCCTTGGCGGACCTAGGCGCTAGCATTAACGTCATGCCATATAAGTTGTATAAAATGCTAGACCTAGGTGAACTTAGCCCTACTAGGATGAGCATTCAATTAGCTGATCGTTCTGTTGTGCATCCTAGGGGAATCATAGAGGATCTGCTTGTTGGTGTTGGTGCATTCACATATCCTGTTGATTTTGTTATTCTTGATATACATGAGGATGTGGATGTGCCCTTGATTCTAGGTAGGCCATTTCTTGCCACCGCCAAGGCACTTATTGATGTGCATGATGGTAAACTGATCTTGCGTGCTGGGAATGAACAGGCTACTTTTTCTGTGACTGAGTTTGATCACTGTGCTATGATTGCTGTCACGCCTGTGCATGCCATGTCTGATCAGGTACACGAGCCTGTCGTGTATCCTTCTGCCCCTCTCATTTTGCAGGACCCTCCTATCATTCCTTCGCCGCTACTCCATCCAGCCACGCCTCCGAACAAAAAGCTCAAGGAGGAGTGGCGGCCAAAGCCGCAGGTTGCTAAGCCTGTGCGGAAGAAGAATGGAGACCACTATGAGCTGGTCCCACCCCCTGCACCACGACCACCCTGGCCGTCTGGGTACTCGCTCGCCTGCATCTTGCCAGATGGGCAGGTCGAGCTGACTGATGATAGTGGTCGCATCCGTCGGGTGCATGGCCACAACCTGAAGCTGTACCTCAAGAGCGAAGTGGATCCGCTCTTGGAGGCACCTGTTCCTGCACCGCCCTGAGTATCCACCATGGGCGTCCAGCTAAAAGACGGTAAAGAAGCGCTTGTGGGGAGGCAACCCCACCACGGTTTGATTTTCTTTCTTATATTTTGAGTCGGATTGTAACCCGGTTTGGGTTTGGTTTGTTTTCTTTTGGTTTGGATGATATTTTATTGGGCTGACCATTGAACCTAACATATTGTGTCTGAGCTCTTCTGTTCCCCTTTGGCTGTGCTTGCCCCGACTGGCCCGTTTCCAGTCCCCTGCAGTCCGTGCATACCGGTAACATCTTTCCCTATCCCTTCCCTCTTCTCCATTGAGGGCAATGTCGATCTTAAGTGTGGGGGGATGTTTATCTTTTGACTGCATTAGATCTGTTTGTGTGCTTGGAGCCTAGTCCACTGTCCAAATTTTTTAAAGATTTGAGGGCTCCAAGTACGTGTTCCTTGCAATTGCCTGCTCAGTATGCTTTGAATTGACAGTCTTTGTAGTGATATGCAACCTAGGGAGGTAGTGTAGCACTATGGAGGATGTTGATGCATTTAAGAAGTCTCATTTCTTCTTCATATTGTGTTGGTTGATTGAGTGAATTAGTGATCTTAGGACCCTTGAATTGTGTGGTGTTGTGGATTCTTTGCCTGTCATGGACTCTTGTGTCATGTTTTGAAAATAACAGGTGCTCGAAAATGTGCTTCAAAATAAATGTCTCACGTGCGAATAGGGCGAAAGTGTGTAAGGGGAGACAGGAATCCGTTCCCAACTTCCACCTACTACCTCCAGCCCCCTTACATGTCTTTCCCCCGCACGAGGCTCGAGACATCCGCTCCTGGCATGGCCGGTAAGAGCAGGTTGGGACTCTTGAAAAGAAAAGAAAAGAAAATAACAGAAAACAAGCAAAACAGAAAGAAAAGGGGTTCCAACCATCCTTAAGCAGAAAATAGAGCACCTTGAAAAATGTGAGTCCATGATCTGTTGTTTTTGAGAATCTCTTCATCCACAATTCATTTGTCCTCTATTCACTATTTGTCATGATGCCGACTCGCCGAAGAAGTTATGAGATGACTTGTGCGTCGGTTGACCTCGTAAGTTGCTAAATGATCTAGGAAGTCCTCTACCTACGATCTGGGTTGTTTGTTGCTAAAGAGGTCTGGAGAGTTGCATGGGTTTGAGTTAGGTTTGCTTGGGGACAAGCAAAAGGTTAAGTGTGGGGGAGTTTGATAGACCGTTAGTTACACATGTTTTCACCCCTGTTCTTACACCGTTTGAGATGTGGTTTCTCGTGTTTTAGACCGATTTCACGCTAGGTTGTGCTTGTTTGTGATATTTCAGGTCCTGGCAAGTGAATGAAGGTTTAGGAGCGAGTTCGGGGTCGATTGGGTGAAGATCGGGCGCGAGGCAAGTCGCAAAGGAGGTCACACGGGCTGCCCTGATGTTCACACGGCCGTGTGAAGGAATGGCCTGGCCGTGCGAGTTTCGCCGAGAGCAGACACGGGCAGAGCAGAGGATCGACACGGCCGTGCAAGTGGCCGGGTTGGCCGTGCCACATTCTGCGAGAGCAAACACGGGCAAGAGGGGATGTCCACACGGCCGTGCCATTCTGGCCGTGCAAAGAGCCTGGAATTCGAACTAAATGAAACGATGCGTTTTGACTCACACGGGCAACTGGGTGAGCTGCACGGCCGTGCCACCCTGGCCGTGTGAGTCGGGATTTTCTCCTTTTAAGCAGAATTTCAGCCACAATTCGAGGGGATTCGAGTTTTTGAGAGAAAGAACGACTTCTAGAGAGAGAAAGTGACGAGCAAGAGTTCCCAAGTGCCCTAGATTGATCTTCAACACCATTGGAGGCCAGCTTGAGCTTGGAGAAGTGCCAATCAACGTCCAGAAGCAGGAATCCATCCTTCGCAGTATGAATTCCGTGTCTGATTCTGCTTTTGCTTTCTTCTCTATGAAGTAGTTCTCCCATTCATCTGGGTATATGGAGAACCCTAGATTTGTATGTTAGGCTTTGATTGTATGAACCCAAGTACTGATTCTATGATTTGATTATATTCGATCGAGGTTTGAATGATTGAATGACTTGAATTCTGATCAAATTCCTGTTGTTTCTGCTTTAACCTAGAATGAGAATATCTGCCTAGGTTAATAGAGTATCCTTGATTGAAGGTAGGGAGTTGGTGACTTTAGTCGAGGAACCAACTCACTATTCTGTACCGGATTTACTCCGGTAGAGGAGGTTTTGTTCTTAGGGCCTCAATCTGTCGACTCCGGTGGAGGTTAGTCGCCCGCTAGAGAGTCAGATTGAGAGGGTCTGAAGACCTTTAGTCGAGACTTCAGGCTGTTTAAGAACCTTCCGCAGTATAACTGTCATAGAAACTGAACTTGGTAATTACAATCCGGCTTAACTGCAGTCTAGGGGGAACCATATCCGGGTGACCTCTCTTAACCTGAATACAACCAGTTTACTTGCTTTGTTTGTTTGGTAGTTTAGACTTGCACTCCAGTTTTATTGATAGATAACAAGAACTCACTGAGTAGTCAGCAAATCTAGGACCCGGGTTGATAATTAAACCCAAACCCGCTATACTACGCTTTAGGAAGTGGTTTCACTTGGCCAATTCCTGGAGTGACAGTAGAGTCGAGTCACATACGTGGGTAATAAACGTGAACTCTGCCTTGTGTCGTGGACTAGTCTCAACTATCATAGTAAAGGAAACCACGTAAATTGCGTGTCTCGTGTTTGCGTTCTTGCTTGATTGATCGTATAATTGGCATGGTATTAGAGCATCGCGTTTTCCTACTCTAAGTTTTTCGTCCGTGCTTGTGTCTGCGATTTGGGGTTTTCGGCTACCTCTTGTCGACTTCGTGTTCTTGATTGGTGTCGCTCTCCTCGGTTTTCTCGTCGGCTTCAGGGCTTGTCTCTTTTGTTTCTTGCATCGCTATGGAGAACTCTAAGGGTGACACGATTTCCAAACGCTTCATGGGTTAGAACTATGATCTTTGAGCTTTTCAGTTCAAGCTTCATCTTCAAGGTCGTTGATTATTGTCTTTTCTCGATGGTTCGGCTCCGGAACTTGCTGCGGACGCTATGAACGAAGTCAAGGAAGACTGGGGCGTCTAATGCCATTATTATGACTTGGTTGCTGGTCTCGATGGATCAAGGTATCGCCTTGAGTTTGCTGGGATTCTCTACAAGGCGGGTATGTGGCAGCACCGCGCCAATATCTATTCTAAGCCCAGGCCTCTCGCAAATTCGATATTGAGTGTGATCTCGGCCGTCTAACGCACGGGGATTATCATATAAGTAATGCAATTAAAAGTGTGATTCTATCTAGAAGCGCTTTGGTGAGCTGAAAGCGTAAAACCAAGCTTTTAAGTTTTAAAGTGTATATTTTGACTACAACTGTAAGGAGAAAGAGTGATTCTATGTAGAAGCGTTTTGGTGGCCTAAAAGGGTAAAAACGTAAGATTTGAAGTTTTAAAGCGCAATTTTGACTACTTTGGTTGAAACTAGGCAATGTTGATGCCTTTGGTGAAGATATCAGCCGGTTGATGGGTAGTGGCGATCTTGCGAGGAGCAATGTGATTGGCGAGCACCCTTTCCTGGACAAAGTAACAATCCATTTCCACATGCTTATTCTGCTCGTAGAAACCACGATTGGCCAGAATATGTAACGCAGCTTGATTGTCACAGTAAAGGGGTGTCGCGGAAAACATAGGAAACCCAAGTTTTACAAGTAACCAGCGAAGCGAGACTAACTCACTAACAGTGGTAGACATTGCCCGATATTCAGCCTCTGCAGATGAGCAAGCAACAACAGACTGTTTCTTAGTGCGCCAAGAAAATAGGGCGCCACGATGACAAATAAAATACCCGGTAGTGGACCGGCGAGTGAGTGGGCAACCTTTTCAGTCAGCATCGCAATAACCTGTGAGAATCAACGAGGAACCAGATGGGAAGAAGAGACCAGGACCAAGAGATTGCTTCAATTTTCTCAAAACATGAACGACTATGTTAACATGCACCTGTGTGGGAGCATGACAGTCTGACTGAGGATATTAACTGCATACTGAATATCCGGACGAGTGACAGTGAGATAGAGCAATTGCCCAACAAGCCGACGATAGCTAGAACTGTAGGGGTGGAAATTGGGGTGGGTATGGTTACCCGCCCCACATTTTGCGGGTAACCACATCCACAAATATAGAATTATACTACCCACAACTCGCCCCACAGTGGGTAGTGGTTAACCACTATCCATTGCGGGTTGGATGTGGATACCCACAAAAAAAATTCCTTCCTTCACCCTTTGGACTCGTATATGATAAACCTATCGGTCGAGTGACGGCAAAAAAAAAAAAACACATTGAGTTAAAACTAAGTAAAGAAGCCCAAGACATGGAACGAGCGAAGATCCGATATTCGAAACCTCCTAAGTAGTCAACCTCCCTCTCCTCGGTTCACTTCACTTGCTTACATGTCACTTCACTTTCTTTAGGAAATCCAGATTGATAACGAGTATGGATTGGAGGGGATCTAACCTTAATATACATAGCATCTTTATCAGCAACATGACTCTTTGCATTTTTAATTCAAATTTTTATTATAAATGGAACTCTCTCCTGAGTTGCGGAATTAGCGTATTCTTACACAAAAACAAAAACCTATATAAAAGAAAGTTAATCAATAAAGTGTTAAATAAACTATAAACCACATTTATCGTCTTTGTTTTGTTATAAAATAAACATATACCACACGGACAATACTTATTTAATAAAAGTATCACATACGAACACAGTGCATTGACTTAGTTTTATTTTACAAAGTAAGTATATATTTGGTTTTGGAGCCTACTTTAATTTGTAGCATTCTACTTTTCACATACTTTAATATTACAAAGTATTATTAATAAATAAATATACTTAGTGTGGTTATTGTGGGTTAACCGTTGTGGATAGTGGTTAACTACTAACCACAAAAATCAATATTTTGCTACCCACACCCAACCCACTATCCACAAATTGTGGGTATGGTTACCCACAATGTATGCGGTTTGGTGCGGTTTGTGGATTACCCGCAATCCGCAAACCAAACTTCCACCCCTAGCTAGAAGGATCACTAGCTGGTGAAGATGGTAGACGACCCAACTAATGATTAACCTCAATAGGAGTGAGACAAGGCCGAGTAGCCTCTAAACCGCAATCTGCAAAGATATCTAACACGTATTTACGCTGATTGAGAACACGACCTTTCTTGGAAAGAGCAACTTCAATAAACCTGTTGAATAAACCCAACGTCATTGCCTAAAAGGATGACGTCGTCCACGTAAATTAAGGCGCTACGAAACTGGAAACCGATCAATGAAGGAACAACCAGTGATCTACCCAACTTTTTACGAAGCCAAAACCCAACTAGGCTTGATAGAATTTTTATACCAGTTCCGAGAGGCTTGACGTAGGCTATAGATAGACTTATGCAGACGAAAGACATGATGATCGCCTGGACGAGCGAAACCTGGAGGGACTTTCATGTAAACTTCCTTAGTAAGATCCTCATGTAAAAATGCATTGTTGACATCGAGTTGATGAAGGAACTAACCCTGGCTAACGACCATAGCAAGAAGACAATGAATAGTGACTAACTTGGCGACGAGAGCATAAGAACCATGATAGTCGACTCCCTCGATCTGAGTGAATCCCTTTGCGACTAATTGCGCCTTGAACCGTTCAACTAACCCTTCTAGCAAATACTTGACTTTGTTAGGACCTTCGGTTGTGAAAGCCCTCAACAGTGGCAACCTTTGCAAGCGCTTAGTTTGGACATCTAATTCAATAGCGACAATTTCGCAACATTATGTCTCTCTCCTCCTTCTCTCTAACGGGAAGTATCTCTGAACCTTTCAACGGTTCCTTTTCCGTCCCCAACATTGGGACTGTTCCTGCTCAACGGAAGAGCGCTATAAAGAAGCTTCAACAACCAAAGAGAAAGGGCGAAGAGCATCAAGGAGGCAGACGCAACCCATCACCAACAGAAGAGATTCTTACGGAGATTGGACAAGGCAGGGAAAGATCTGCAAAGGACATAAAGACAATGGGGATATGGAAGCCACCAGACGCTTGGAGAGTTAAATTCAAATGTCAGAGAAAGAAGAAGAGAAGAGGAATAAGAAAGAAAGCTGTTGGAGGTTACCCTGGAGGTGTCATCACCAGTAGAAAGAAGAAGGGCATCAGCCTTGAGCCAAGTGCTTCTGGGGCAGAGAGGAGAAAACAGAGAGGAGTGAGTACTAGTCAAAAGAGGGGTAATGAATATCTTGACAAGAAACAGAACCACCAACAGAGTAGAGAAAGTAAAGACCACCTACCTAGAGGATGCTTTAAAGAGGAAGAGAAGGAAAGAAGAAGAGGATTTACTTCCAATAGAGCTCCTCAACAAAGCTTGCTCTGCATCTCAAAAAAACCCCTCGGTTCCCCTGCAAACTCCAAACACCATGAAAAACAAGGATTAAAACAAAAAGTCAATATGAATACCAACAGCAGTAGAGCACCAAGTGGAAACAGAGAGGAGAACAGGCTTACCACATCAGCAACAAGGGGCAGAAGCAACCGCCCGATTCTCACATCCACTGGGGGCCGAGGCATATCAATGATGCTAGGGAAGATGATGACCGAGAACAAAGTGGCTCTGGCCAAGGCTGCAGGAGCGGCACGCTATGCTTGGGGAGGATATGGTGAGGTTAATGTCCAACCTACGGAAACACAGAATCTGTTCATATTCACATTCAACAAAGAAGAAGTAAGGGAGAAGATTTGGAATGAAAGACCATGGAGTCTGTCCAACACTCTCACTGCTATTGAGATGTACAACGGAAGAGGCAAACCTGAGGAAGTTCCAATGGAGAAGCTGGCGATGTGGGTGCAGATCCATGGATTGCACCAGAACCAGAGAAGCGAGCAGAATATGGTGGCAATTGGAACCCATTAATTCCCCGGGCTTCTCGACGTGGACAGAGCGAGCCTGGAATTCACAGGGTACAGAAAGTTCCTGAGGATTCTGGTGGAGGTTGATCTGAAGGAGCCGGTGCCGACGGGCTTTGACTTCCCATTCACCGACGAGAGCACAGGAGTGGAGCACTGCGACGTGATAGATTTCAAATATGAAAGGTTGGTGGAATCGTGCTATTTGTGTGGGAGAATAGGCCATAATTGGCCAACTTGATGGAGGATGAATGAAGAAGAGAGGAGAAATGGGAGCGCTTACCTGTCGAAGATTTACAATTCTTCGCTCAAAGCTGGAATTGACTCCCCCCATAGGAGCCATTCGGCCAGAGGTAGAAGCAACTGGGAGAGGGAAGGCTCACAGAGCTCGGCAGCGGGGAGAGAGAGATCGGGAAGCCAGAATCGAGAAGGGGAGGGAGAAGGGTGGTCGCCAGTGGAGGCGGATGGCAGGGTTTCAGAGGGGAACCAACAAATCCGGCCAGGTTTCACCATTAGGAGGATGGAGCAGGAAGGTCAGGGAGGGGAGGATGGTGATACGCAGGGGAGATGGAGAGGGAGATACCGGGAGGAGATGGGATCAAAGAACTTGATGGTGGAGATGGAGAGAGCGGCGGCGGCTATGGAAGTAGGGTTATCGCTGGAGGCGGGGAGGAGTCTCAACGAAGGGGGGATGCAAAGGGAAGCGGTGGAGACTGACCTGTCTCTTGGGCCAATATGCAACAAAGGGAAGCCCAGTATCCAAGCCAAGCAGGCCCGTTTGAAGCTGTAGAGTATCAACACTTCAATGAGGCAGGGGAAGAAAATGCGGGCCAGAAGAAGAAAAAGAGGAGGGGAATGGGCCTGGCAAGTGGAGGGAGGCCCAGGGCCGAGGTAATTAGAGAAGAAGTCTCCTTTGTTGTGCCAACAGGAGGTTTTGAGATAGGAGGACAAGGAGAGGCCAACAGAAAGAAGAATAAAAAATTCATGCCCCACCATCCTATCAGCTCAAAGGGGATTATTTTAGAAATTGATCCGAAGGGGAAGGGAAAGAAGAATAAGGCAGCGGTGGTTCGCCAGAAGCCACCTCTCCAGGAATGAGTATCATTAGCTGGAATTGTAGGGGTTTTGGCCCAACTCTTACAAGGAGTTATGCGAAGCGTCCATGCAGACGATTGGGCCCTTCGATTGTTTTCCTCATGGAGACGAGCAAGAACGAGACATTCATGGAGGAGCAAAGAAGAAGTCTCAAGATTTTCCCCAATAAAGAGTATGTTGAACCGGTTAACTCTTCTAGGTGTTTTGCTTTGTGGTGGAAAGCGGGTATTAGCATTAATGTGTTAAGTAGTAGTAGCTATTATATGGATTGTTGTATTGATATGGGTAGGAAGTTCTTATGTACTTTTGTTCATGCGCCCTCTATCGCTGTTAGTAGAAGGTATTTTTGGGAGCATCTTAGCTCTCTTCGGAGTAGTAGGGAGGAGGATTGGGTGATTGTAGGAGATTTCAATGCTGCTATCTATGAAAGTGAAAAAGAGGGTAGATGTCCTCTTAGGTATGAGAATGTCTAACCTTTTAAAAGGTTCATCTTCCATAATGCACATATCGATATAGGGTTTAAAGGAGAACCGTTCACATGGACCAATAAGCGCACCGGAGAGAATACAACGAGAGTCCGCGTGGACCGAGTTTTGTGCTCGAATTCGTGGAGAGTTCTCTTCGGAGAAGCGAACTTTTTTCATGAAAAGATGGTTGAGTCAGATCATTGCCCAATTAGATTGGAACTTTATGGCAGAGTGAATAGGAGAAGTAAAATTCCCTTTAGGGTGGATGAGAGATGGTTAGATAAGGAAGGATGTAAGGAAATTGTGGTCAGAGCTTGGATCCGGGAGGACTGTCCACAAACCAACTGCCAGATGCGAGCAAGATCTTAAAGATTGGTCAAAGGACTTCCATAGAAACAGTGTTCAAAGGGAGAAAGACATCCTTGACCGACTTGAGATACTCCAGCGCCCACCCAGAACTCAAGAAAGGGTGGAGGAAGAGAAAAGTCTCATTGAAGAATTGTCCAAGAGTTGGAGGGAGGAGGAGGTGTTCTGGAATCAGTGCTCAAGAGTGAATTGGCTACAAAAAGGTGATCAGAATAACT